ATTAGAATTTATTAGCTTTCAGGAAAATAATCTTCTTATCTATCTTTGTATATATTGTTGACAGAGCATCTTTTATTACATTGCAGTGTAAAAGTTACCATGGCATGTAGTACCTTAGTTGGGAATATGTCTTCTAAATAAAACAGATGGTGGGTATGTGCAGGATAGAACAGAATTAGTCATTAATCCATTAACCATTAATTTAGTCATTATTCTTAGCTTTCCCATAACTCGCCTGCGCTTTACTTTGTGAATAAATAAAGTTTTTATAATGCAGGGGTTTTATTTTAACACCAAAGGCAATGTGTAGGTGAATGTGTTGTTTTTCTTGTTGAACTCCTCCTCCTGCTAAAGTGATGCCTCTGTCACTAGGGTTACAACAAGAGCATTTCTGCAGCAGAAGTGATAATCCGCTTTGCTTTCCAAGCCTCCATCACAGTCCTGTGCATCGCCTGCCCCTGCTCCCTGGGCTTAGCCACCCCCACAGCTGTGATGGTTGGCACTGGAGTAGGAGCCCAGAACGGCATCCTCATCAAAGGAGGGGAGCCCCTGGAGATGGCACATAAGGTGAGGGATCTGGCTTGTTGGTACAAGAACTTCAGAGGCAGGGTTCGGTGGCGGTTTGCCCCTTGCTGCCTGAGCAGATCGTGTCCCTGCTTGTAAAGGGTGCATGATCAGAAGGTCTTAGCTTGGTTAAATTGTGTGGTTTTCTTAGAACCCTAGAATGGTTTGGGTTGGGAGGGACCTTCCAAGCTCATCAGGTCCAACCCCCTGCAGGGAGCAGGGACATCTGCAGCTAGAGCAGGGTGCTCAGAGCCCCGGCCAACCTCCCCTGGGATGGTGCCAGGGATGGGGCAGTGACCACCTCTCTGGGCAGCCTGGGCCAGGGGCTCACCACCCTCAGTGTCAAACATTTCTTCTCCCTAGTCTAAATCTCCCTCTTTTAGTTTAAACCCATCACCCCTTGTCCTGTTGCAACAGACCCTGCTAAAATGTATGTCCCCAGCTTTCTGACAGGCTGCAGTAAGGTCTCTCCTATCTCCTGAGGAAGCTGCACGTTAAAGCTTTATTCATGGAATGAAATCTTCCTCTTCTGCTGCAGGTGAAGGTGGTTGTGTTTGACAAAACAGGCACTATTACTCATGGGACACCAGAGGTGGTGCAGGTGAAGTTTCTGGTGGAGGGTAACCAGCTACCACATAACAAAATGCTGGCGATAGTGGGGACTGCAGAGAGTAACAGCGAGCATCCTCTTGGAGCAGCAATAGCAAAATACTGCAAAAAGGTGAGTTCTTTATACAGGAAAAGAGCAGGCTGTGTTATGGAGGAGCCTTTCTTGCAGTCCTTGATATGTATGAGAAGTCCTGTGTTATCTGGAAAATAATTCATGGATTCAATTGGGAAAGCTGAAAATTGTGGAGTCATAAATCCTTTTGTACCATATTAGAGGGACACTCCAACTTGTGCTTTGAGTGATGAAATATTTCTCTGCTCCTGTTAGACTGCACTTTATTTTGTGGGGTTTGTAAATGTGGCATACTTTGATATGTTTAAAGGTTTTCTCAGTTTGCATCCTGTCTCCTTAGGAACTGGACTCGGAAACCCTTGGTACTTGCACAGACTTTCAGGTAGTTCCAGGCTGTGGCATCAGTTGCAAAGTCACCAATATTGAAGCATTACTCTCCAGGAAAAATAAAATGGTTGAAGAAAACAACATTAAAAATGCAACCCTTGTGAAAATTGAGGAAAACATGGATGAATCAGTGCAGCCTGCTCTGATTATTGATGCTGAACTACCAGGTCAGCTAACTCTGGTTTATAGCATACAATGGAGAACTTTGCCTTTCTGTCTTTAGGATGCTGAAGAATGAGGTCGCTGTTTTCTGCCCTGGAGAACTGGGCACACGTGAAACAGTTGGTCATTAGTTTGTTTTATTCTCATGCATCATTCAGGACATGTTGATTGAATACAGTTTGATGTTACATGTTGGATATGGGGCTGGAAAATCATGTAGGAGTTGTCCTTCACCTCTCTCTGTTTTTATTTTGTTTCATCCCAAGTTACCATTTGTTAGCCAAAATTATGTATATTTTCAAAGGTGAAAATCTGCATAATTTCACAGGTTTTCCATCAAGAGCAGCTCATTGTTAGGTCTTTAAACTGTATTGGACTGTTCTGTCACATCAGAAGCACTGAGAAAAGGGACCTCATTCTTTACTGTCCTTTGGCCTGTGATTCTGGGTCCTCTAACATGGTAACTACCCATTACTGTAGAAATGTTGGTGTCTTCTCAAGGACATGTGAAAAGATTGGTAGGGCAGTAAGTGTTGGGTAAATCTCTTTGGCTTCTCTGTGGTGATACTTCAGGGGATGCTGGGAGAACCTGGATAGGGTTAGCTGGAGGGAAGCTTCCTGGTTATCCTTCTGATGGTGGGGTTGTATTTTCTTCTTTCAGGCACTGTGGCTCCTCAGAAATACTCAGTTCTCCTTGGGAACCGGGAGTGGATGAGCAGGAACGGGCTCCTTGTCCCCAGTGAAGTGGACAGAGCCATGGTGGAGCACGAGCGCAGAGGCCGCACGGCAGTTCTGGCAGCTGTTGATGGCAAGTTCAGTGCTGTCCCTTTGGGGTTTTTTTTATTTGGAGGTTGATTTGTCACTATTGAAATAGAGTAATAAGCAGTAATGTCGTGGCAGTTATACCTGAAGCAGAATAATGGGATGAAAAGAGATCCTTAGCTAGTTGTGTAACACTGCCATAGGAGGGAGACCTCTTCCTGTCCTTAGTTGGCAGAGGAGTTGGACATAATACACCAGCTTCAAAGGGAAAAAAGGGAGGAAAAAGGGGTTTTGTTACTGTAGGACAGTCTATGCTCTGTATTGTCCAAATACTGCTGCCCTGATACCTGCTCTCATTCTCCTTACTGTTGGTATTACTGGTTCTGGAATTGGTCTTACTGGGGAAAAAAAGGGTTACACTTTTTTCCTAAAGCAATGAAGATCTTTATTTCATACATAACATTCTTTCTGGTTTTTTAGGAGTGCTTTGTGGCTTGATAGCCATTGCTGATACCGTGAAGCCAGAAGCTGAGCTGGCAGTCTACACTCTGAAGAGTATGGGGCTAGAAGTTGTCCTGATGACCGGTGACAACAGCAAAACAGCGAGATCCATCGCCTCTCAGGTCAGCTGCATTTGGCCTTCTGGGTTTGTTTGGGACACCTGGGCTTGGGTTTGGAGCTTACTGCAGCCCATGCACAGCAAGAATTGTGTTGTGCAAGAGTTATCATGTTGATACTGCTTGTGGCTGGCATAGAACTGGTCTGTTGTGAAAAATTGTAATTAAACTTTGAGAAGAAGGGGGAATGAAAGAAGCCTTTTTGAATGGGAGCAGCATCAACTTTGAATTCAAAGCTGTTTGCATACCAGCTGTGTGTGGTCATGAGAGATGGCATCAGTTTCAACCTTCCTCACTGCATTACCAAAGGCAGAAGCTTCGACAGCTAGTAGAGAAGCTGCAAGACAGTTTTGCACTTTCTCTCTCTTCAGGTTGGCATCACCAAAGTGTTTGCAGAGGTTCTTCCCTCCCACAAAGTAGCCAAAGTGAAGCAGTTACAAGACGAAGGGAAGCGGGTGGCCATGGTTGGAGATGGTATCAATGACTCCCCAGCCCTTGCCATGGCCAACGTGGGGATTGCTATTGGCACGGGTACTGATGTGGCCATCGAGGCAGCTGATGTGGTTCTGATCAGGGTAAGAAACAAGAGTGCTTTGTTAAAATGAGAGAAGAGGGGTTGGAAGGTCCAGGATGTCCTGAATGATTCTGAGCACTGCTGAAGTGTGCAGCATCCACAAGCCAGGAGAACTGGAGATAGTCTTCAGCATGTTGCTTTGGTGTAGTGATAATTATCCTTTAAGGGAAACTTCCCCATATTCTGGGTACTACAAGTCTGGGGTGATAAAAGTTTGAGAGTGAGCAAAGGAAGAAGTCACCTGACCTTTAACCACCAGAAATTATATCTCAGTAGGATACCATGCAGTGGTCACTTCTTCCTACATCTAGTGTGTGGTAGTTAGCTCTAAAATAAGAGTAGGATGCCACAGTTTGTGTGCTTTTCTTTTTCTCTCTTTTCCAATAAATGCATTAACTTGCAGGATGACTTGATGGACGTGGTAGCAAGCATAGACTTATCAAGGAAAACTGTGAAGAGGATCCGCATCAACTTTGTCTTTGCTCTGATTTATAACCTCATTGGAGTCCCCATAGCTGCTGGTATGTGAGTGCTTCCCTGCAGTGACAAGGCTGTGCTTAGAGAGCAGAAGATTGCAGTGATTTACTACTCCAGAGTACCCCTTTTCTTCATTTCTGACTGTCAGTAAGTGCAGAGTTGCCTGCCTGGGGATGTTGCAGGGGTGTATCTGTGAGCTGTCCTCCTCCCACAGGTATGGGTGTGCTCAGCACATCAAAATCATTATTGAATGAGCCTGATCCTGTGAACAAGCAGTTTAGTGGAAGGCAGGCAAGATGCACCTACCTCTGCATTTCAGTCTAAGTGACACATCCAGCTGCTGTGTCACTTCTAGCTGAGACAGAACACAAACATACATGCAGTCAGTATTTGTCATTTAACCCTGAACTAAAATGCTGTTTATCAGCATACTGAACACAACTAAAATTGACAGCCCGTGTGGAGTTGTTTGGGTTAGGCTCTGGGTAACACTGTATTCCTGCTCTGAACTTGCTGCTGTGTTGTTTTCCAGGTGTCTTCCTGCCCATTGGTTTGGTTTTGCAGCCCTGGATGGGCTCTGCAGCCATGGCTGCCTCCTCAGTTTCTGTTGTGCTGTCCTCCTTGCTGCTGAAGATGTGAGTACGAGCAGTCTGGGGGCTTGGAACTTGGATTTGAAGCTTTTGGTCTTGCACTTTGGCAGAAAATAAGGGTGGGATTATGACAGATTTCAAAGATTTTTTGAAGAACAGTCCACAGAATCCCAGCATGGTGGGGGTTGCAAGGAACCTCTGGAGATCATCTTGTCCAACCCCCCGGCTCGAGCAGGAGGCCCAAGATCTGTGTCCAGGAAGGTTTCAGAAGTCTCCAGAGGAGACTCCAGTCCAGGGCTTGGGCACCCTCACAGGAAAGAAGTTTTTTCTCCTGTGCAGATGGAACCTCCTGGGTTCCAGTTTGGGCCCATTGCCCCGTGTCCTCTTGGTGGGCTCCACAGAAATGAGCCTGGCCCCATCCTTTTGACCCCCACCCTTTAGATATTGATCAGATCAATTCAATCAGTGACTGAATGGGTGGATGCAGGGAGACCAGCTGATGTAGTCTGCCTTGACCTGAGCAAGGTGTTTGACAGAGTCCCCATCACATCCTCCTGAGCCAGCTCAGGAGATACGAGCTGGAGGGACAGGCAGTGAGGTGGTTGAGAACTGG